AGTCTGCCAACACTGAAGGTGGCAGAGTACATTCCAGGCATCCCACCAGCTATTCTGGTGGGATGCATGGGAAAACTGAGGAAAGATTCTGAGTGGTAGGGGGCAAATGAAGGAGTGGATGGAAGGAGCACAGTCTTGGGGGGTAGTGGTGGCAAGTTAGAAAATCTTGAATTGAATAAAACAATGGGATTAAAGTTTTTAGGGAAGGAGGATTGGATCCTTGAGCAGATTTGAGTTTTAGAATACAAGTTTTAGAATTTGCTGTCCCAGGGAGAATGTGCAGGCAGGGAGGGCCATGATAACACTTTTGCAAGTGTTAACATTGCAGAAGGTACATAAGAGATATTTGGGAAAGAAATATTTCAAGATTATGAAACTCTCCTTATACTGAATCTTGCTACAGTTCATGAAATACTCAGAGGGGCCCTGTGCAACTGTATGTGTAACATCTGTAAGCAGACAAAGGAAGAGTCTAGGTGAGCCATTCTGAGGATCCTGTCAAAGGCACAGGTGTGGAGAGAAGGGAGAGGATAGAAAGGCTTAAGCTGTAGGACCCACAGGACATGACAACAACTGGGCATGATGGCAGGGCAAGGTGGTGACTAGGGGTGGGAGAGCTAGCAAGTGGGTGGATAGATGGTAGGTACCATGTAGATGGTAGAAGGATGGAGGATGAAGCGCTAGACTGAGGCCCATTGTCAATGGTCATCCTCTTGGTCATGCCCTGCAAACTGTAAACACCTAGGTCTGAACAGGCAAGATACTATACTATCCTTGGTACCTGGGTGGGATCTTTACCTGGGTTTGAATCTCAGATCTGCTACTTGTTAGCTGTCGACTTTGGGGAAGCAATTTACCTTCTCTGTGTCTCAGTTTTCTCATTTGTAAATTATAGATAATAATAGCATCCTTATGATGATGTGGTCGTGAGGATTAGAAGAATTAGCCAATGGAAACTGCTTAAATGGCATCATGACTAGAGCAAGTGCCCCACATAGGTCAGCCCCTGCCGTTTTTAAAAAGGAGTTCTAAGGGGCAGTTGAACATGGCCCAGGCTCCTGTGTCTGGGTGATTCAGAAGGACAACTGGGCGGGTCCCACACACACATAAAGCCATCTTAGGCTCTGCAGAGCTCACTGGTCCAGGGATGATATAAAAATTGGCAGCATGGGTCAACAGGAAGAGAGGAGGGATAGAGGGATTGAGGGAGAGAGAAGTGAAGGAGGAGGAGGTGAGAAAGGGGAAGGAGAGAGGGAGGAGAGCGGGTTGGGCTTCTTTCCCAGGCTGCCCTACCTTGGTCTGGGCTGGAACAGGAGCCTTGATAGCAGAGTTCACCAAGAACCACCTCTAAGTCTAAGGCACAACTTGTTCATCATTTTTCTTTCAAATAATAATTTCAGAAATAGAAAAAGAGTTAAAGAAAAATATAACTAACAGCTGCGTACTCATCACTCAGCTGAGCACAGGTATGGCCCCTCATGTGCTCTCCTTTCTAGAGATAACCATGGGCCAAGTTCCATCATCCTCATACCTTCTGCAGATTTGCCTCCAGGAACCCGTGTTTCCAAACACTGTCCTACACACAGCCTCTGTGTTCTTAACGGTTCCCCAGAGGTGGTAACCACAGCCAGGGATAGGAAACCAGTTTTCTGGTTCCTAAGGGGATGGAAGACTCCAGTATCATCAGGAAGGTACAAGGAAAGGCAGGGGAAGGAGGGAAACCTCTTCACATTTTTTGGTCACATCAGGCTTAGAAATGGCTCTTAGGACTCTGTTTCTAGCCTTTCCACGGGAAAATTCCATAATTTTAGAGGCCCACAAGAATGTTTTCATTTCTTTTAAGATCAAAACAAAAAGTAGAGTCTAGATTACATTCACCTATCTGCCAATGCAGTCATAAAATATAAATTTTGAGTTTTGGGGGGTTTTTTTTCCTGTAAAGGAAGGGCCCAGAAGGGTAAAAGTGCTTGGGCCCATGAAAGTGCTGACACAGCCCCGGAGAAGAATGGAAAGAGATCTGCAGGTTCACCACTCCTGACGTCTATCCATGGGATCAACAGGAGCAGCCTCCCCTATCCTCTTTTATGTGAGACAGTAGAGACCTCTTTGTTTAAGCCATTACTTTTGGCTACCTCTACCCCCTAAGGCAGCCTTCTTGTCTGGAACCCTTTTCTTCAGAGGATGTCAGTGAAGGCAGTGTGTTGACACCCCTGTTGCCTTGAAGGGGGAGCTTTGAAGAGGAGAGGGAGCTCTGATGGAAACAGTTAAAAATTAATGAAACAAAGTATAGAACAGTTGAACAAGAGAAAACTGGTTATTTCAGCACAGGGAGGAGGAACTTGTCTAAGAATGGAGAGCAGTAGATGGAATCACAGGTCAGACAAGCTAGCACTGAACACCTCCCTGCAAGAAGAGATTAAGAATGTTACAGTAGGAGCCAGCAATAGGTGCAGCTTATAGGATATATAAGAAGAGGTCCTACAAGAGGTGGTGAGCCGTTTCCACTACCCCTCTACTGCTGAGCCTTGTCTTAACTTTGCAGAACTTTTCTTTGCCTTTCAATAAACTCTGAATGTCTTGACATAGTGTGTATTTTCGTAGTTGTCCTGTCTGCTCAGAAGAGAGGTTCCAGTGGAGAGACTCTGGCTGGGGTAACTGTCCTCACTGTGTGTCTCAAAGGGTGCCTCTCAGAAGGCAGGGGGTCACCAGACCCACAGGATGGCAACCAGGGCTTTTCTCTGTACTTTTTCCGACCTGAAGCAGTTGAGGCAGTGGTTCTTGTAACAGGGAGTTTATTCCTGCCCGCCTTTGTCTGCTTTAGTGTTTGTTGTTTGTCTGTGGTATATCTTTCAGTTCTTGATCTGACCACCCCAAACCTGCAGTTTAAAGTTTCCATTTAAACTTTAGGCAGAAACTCCCAGGGCCTAGACCCAGCAGCCCAGGCCTTGCATTTATCAGGGCCTTACCTCGAGCAGAGAGTTCTGGAGCTTCACATTTAGGGCCACTTTCTCTTCTTCCAGCTGCTTTATTTCCTTTTCTGATTTCTTCCTCACATCCTCCAACTGTGCTTGCACATCCTAAATGGTGATTAGAAGAGTCAGCCACACAACAGGACACTTATTGCAGTCACACCGTGCCTTGATTCTCCCTAAGGAGATCAAAGAAGCTTACAAAAGTCACCAAATACTGTAGTAAACAAGTTAGGAACACATAAGAAGGTCAAAAGAAAACAAATATGAAATCTCTACGTGTGTATCATGAACTCTGATCCATAAAGGGCTGGAGTGGGATGGGGTAGACCCCGGGCATTAAGTTTTCTAGTGTCAAATAAGAAAAGAGAATCATCATAAACAAAATTCTCAGCGTCTCATAAGTCAGCTACATTTTCTCAAAAGGCAGCTACATTTTCCAAAGTAGGGAAATATTAAAAGCAAAATGAAGTTTCACCTTATCAACAGCATCCATACATTGGTCAAAATGATGGGCTGGTCCTCCCCAGAGCCCGAGAACTTCAGTACAAAGCAGGCGCAGATGCAGGAACATTCTGGGGATCACATGAGGGGTGCAGCCACCTTTCAGGTGGGTGGTGTTGAGCACAGTTCCTAACCTGTCTGATTCCTGTGCTATTTACATGCTTAGCACCATTCCACGTACACAGTAAAGCCTCAAATGATCAGCACTACTATTATCGTCACAGAAGCCTACCCTTTCTCATCTGGAAAAACCATATGAGTATCTGAAAGAATGGATGGAATAGTCTGTTCCTTTTAGTATTTCTTGAGCTCTCCAGTATGCTGGGCACTGTTCTTAGACAGGACCTCTCCGCACTGTGAGTTTGCATCTGAGTGACAAGACAGGCAGCTAAGTCAGTAAACGAGATGGCCAATGCTATGTCAGATGGATAAATAATAAAGTGGGGAAGAGGACCCTGTGGTGTTGAGGAGGGGTTGAAATTTTAGATAATCTGGCCAGATAATGGCTGTGGAAAAAGTGACTTTTGAGTAAGAATTTGTATTAAGGAGCAAGACCGCCAAAGAGTGAAATGGGCAGGTTCTCAGCCCACCTCCCTCCTCCTCCCTCCCCCCAGAGTCAACCCTGGGAATGGGACAAGTTCTCAACTCGACTCCCTCCCTCTCCTTCCCCCTCAGAGGCAAAACAAGGAAGCACAAAATGTCCCAAGTTCAGGTGAACAATGGTGGGAATTTACCCAGACAGACAGGACTTGCTGAAAAGAGAGGGGCCAGGATGACACAGCTCTCTGACCTAAGCTAGGAGAGGATGGTGATCCAATACACCACTGGGTAAAGCAGGGACCAAGGCAGCCTGGCAGTGACACACGTCAAGAGTGAGCAATCACAACACAGTGTAGTAAGAGCCAGGCTCAGGAAGGTGTGGGGGGCCATACGACAGACAACAGCATCACTAGGTTGGGCAGGGAAGATTTGGGGGGAGATTTAAACTGGGACCAAAAGGATCATGAGGAAGAAGTGGACAGAATTAGGTGGATTTGGGAGTGGGGAGGAAAGTGCTCTCCATTAAGGTCTCCAAAGACCACGGCATGAATGATGAGCCAGATTCAGGCTGGAAGGCAGAGTCAGACAGGGAGAGGTGTGGAACGAGGCAGGAGGGGCAAATGGATCTGTCTTTGTAGCGTCCTTCTTTTTCCTTTTTTGAGACAGGGTCTCTGTCACTCTGTCACCTGAGCTACAGTGCAGTGATGTTATTGTAGTTCACGGTAGCTTCCAACTCCAGGCTCAAGTGACCCTCCTGCCTCAAGAGGGCACCACACCTAGCTAATTTTTTTATTTTTTGCAGGGAGGTGTCTCTCTATTGCCTTACCTGAGCTCAGGTAATTCTCCTACCTTGGGGACCCAAGTTCCAGATTACAGGCATGAGCTACCACACTTGG